AAAAAAAAAAAAAAAAACTATTCAAAAAATTATTTTTCTCAATAATAACCATTAAAGGCTTACTTTTAATGGTGTAGTAACTCACGGGCGTAGTTGCTAAATTTAATGCCGCAATTCTATGTAAAAGGTTAAAATTGACAATAATTAACGTATTAAATTCAATGGTGCACGCACAAAACACTATTCATTCCCAATTTCAAGATTTATAGGGACGATGTCGTTACATGGTATATTTATCTAAAAATGCAAGGCTAACAAAGGATCAAGATATTGAAAGTTTAGTCACATGAGCAAAAAATGAAGTAATTAACATTGAATTTAAATTGAAGGAATAGGTTTTGTTATAGTGATTTTTTGAAAAATGTGTGATTGAAAAGTAAGGAAAAGTTTTAAATTTATGTAGAAAATTATTTTATTAAATTATATATGGTTAAAAATGAATATGGAGAAAAATGAGAGGTTGTCTGGGCGCACAAAAATTGGGTAGGAAAATCACTTTTTAAAACGTTGGAGAAGATCTGTAGGTCCCACTGCAGAGAGAAATTGTCAAATTTTGTAGGCTGGAACGGGAAGAAAATCAATTATTTGGTTGCAATAATCTGGGCCAGACAGGCTCTGAATTTTATATAATGGCTCAAACATATGCTAAGATTTTCAGTGAAAGTTCAAATGCCAAAAATAAAATCAACTTGTATTTATTTTAGACATCTGTTTGGTTCAAATTAAAATCTGATTTTAATCTAAATCAAAGTCAAACAATCAATATTAACCACATCTTTCATGGGTCCCACAACGTTTCAACCACACATTTCAAAAATTTCTATCAAAATCTAATTTTAATCCCTACCAAATAAATGGGGACTAACAAAGGATTAGGCATTAACTCCTTATTTGATCCTCATTTTTTTTTCAAGATACAATTTTTCTCTTTTTTTTTTAACCTCGCATTTTTCAATAAAATAATATTACAAGCAAACCAAAAAAATTTCTTTATTTTTTTAACCCCACATTTTTCATCAATTTATTATTTCAAAATGCATTATACACTGAAAATGGAGCTCGAACGGGAGCTTAGTAATTGAAGATAATGGAGTCATAAATGTTCAAAGGACATTGAAGTTAAGTTATTCGGTTGTGATAAATTAAAATTTAGCAACCTAATTGAAATTTGACAGAAAGTTCGATTACCAAAAATGAAATTGACCAAAATTTAGCAGTTTCAAAATGGATTGGCGGTGTGGAAGCGTAGCACAAACGTGGATGCGGGCATGTTTTGCAGACCAGGCTATTGACGGTTAATTTACACCTTTTTAAAAGTCAACATAGTGGAGAGGATAATCATCCAAACAGAATAACAAGGACTATACTACTTTGCCATTAAGCCCATGTTTGGCATTCATTTTCTTTCTCATTCTCATTCTGTTTGGCATCCATTTTCTTTCTCATTCTCATTCTCCTTTTTCATTTCAACCACAAAATCTCCAAATAAAATAATATTACACACAAATCTAAAACTTTTCATTACTTTTTCACCATACATTCTCCCATCAATCACTATTTCAAAATTTTTCAACCTATTAAAATGGGTGTCAAACACTCAGTTTCACACTTTTTTGTCATTTTGTATGAATATTGTCTATTATACCATTATCTATATATTTTAATTATTTTCCACATTATTACCCCATAATTGGTATCAGATCCTAGTAACGAAACTAAAGAAAATTTAAAGAATAAGATAAAATGAATAGAAAA